TTCAGGTAAGCTAACCGGTCAAATTTATCTACATTAGCCGGTGACAGGACGAAATTTCATGTTTTTTTGCACTTATGGGACGTAATCCAAAAATAGTTATCGAGGAGGACCAAACTTCAAATGGGTGCTACTTATAGGACAAAATTTCTAATTTTTCCTTGTTCCTTATGTTTTGTAAACTCTGGTTCCACTTGAGGTCAAGTTTAAGGTGGTGATTGGAATTTTTTTTATTTGTTTTATTGGATAAAGTGAGTTATTTTTTTTAAAAAAAGTTGATTAAGTGAAAATTTGAATATGATTTGAAGTTTGTATTTTAATAATATTTGAAAAATATATTGATTAAAGTTGATATGGTGTAAAAGTACATGAAAGAGATTATTTAAAGTGATAGGTGTTATCACTTATGTGAGTAGATGAATAGTGAGTTAAACTTAATTTAATTAAACATATGGATAATTTTGAAGAGAGGAGTTGAATTAAAATAAAATAAAATTTTAATTTAAATTTTTTAAAAAAAATATTCAGCCAAAAATAATCTATTATTAACCAATTGCAAAAAAGGCTCAACTTGATCTAGGTAGGTTCATCTGACCTAGGTTGGCTTTCTCCTTAGGAAAATTCACTCCGCAATTAATGTAACAAAGTAAATCTATAAGGAATAGCTTGTTTTTTTTATTCAACTAGATGATTTTTTTAACCATCAATAGGGTAATAACAACTGTAACAAAAAAAAAAATAACACTAATAACGAATTCGTTTTTCTTCACAATTTTCTGTATCCCGTCTCAATATTTTTAAGCCATGATAGATAATCATAGCTACAACTTAATCGCAACCAGAGTTCTTTCTGGACTGCCAAACCTCCAAAGGCAGCAATATCACATGACCAATTATAATTTTGTTCGAACTCACAAGTTCAGTTGGATTTTATCTTGGTTATTTAACAATGGCTGTGTGTGGTAACTGGTAAGCCCATATGTTAGTTTATAACTTATTTAATTTAATTAATTTATAAGTTTTATGTATCTAAATAAGTTTGGTTTGATAAAACGAGATTTTTCAAAAAGTTCGAGCTTATAAGTTTCGTTGGGTACTTGAGTAGCTTTTCAATTAAGCCCATTGAAAGTTTTATTTCATAATTTTATCAAACAAGTTTATCATATAAGTTAACTTTTCAACCACAAGTCATAAGCTATCAGATATAAGCTCAAAATTCACTTAAGCTAATTTATCAACTATAAGTTAGTTTATCAGCTAGTTTTACCAAATATAGCCAATATATGCTTTTATGCAAGTAAATGATTTAATAATTCTATATAGAACTTTGAAGTAATCTTATCATATCCGCTGTTCTGTCGGTAACCCACATGAGTACAACTTAGTATATATTCATCTATTTTGTTTAAATAATAGATTTCATTAAAAAAAATGTATAATTACTAGCGGCTAACTAATCGACAGTGGCACGTCAAACTCTCTGACCGGCAAGATCTCGGTTCTCCTTCACTTTCCTCGCCGGTAGAACGTCAAGTACCTGCAAAAACTCTCACACCGGAGGAATTTTCCGGTGAAGAGCATTCGATGTTTAAGTCAACATCGCTCTCAACTTAATTCTCAAGAGTATAATAGAAATGTCATGCTGAAATCGTAAGTCTCACCCCTATATATAGGGGTGAGGTACCTACTTCTAGAAGGCTGCCCGGATGAGCTGAGCTGACTGCCCAGAGCTGCCCGGCCTACCCGATCGTACAACACATATTGAAGGTGTGTCAGAGACGGTTATGTAATAGAGAAATGCTATAAGTACATAATATTGTACATAAGGGTATACATAACACTTACATTGTGTGAGACCTAACAAAAATAAAAAATCAAGTGGACCTCACTCCATGTGAGTGTTATGTTCACCTCTATGTATATATATTATGTATTTGTACCATTTTCTTATGTAATATGGACCAATTAGGTCCTCTTCGCATGGGGATTTGATTCCTATGAGATCTCTTCGAAGGCTCGAATGCTCGACCAGGTCTAGGTCAGTTTGATGCGGAGCGTTGACTGCTCCAAGTCTGGGTTTCGGTCGATTGGACGACCATTTGTACCACAGGTAGATCTACGACCAGACCCTCTGAGGGTCTGGAATCGACCTGTTCTCCATGTATTGGAATCCCCTTTAAGCTGTCTTCCAATCCAAAGGCTAATGTTCTTGTGAGTTCGACCACGACCACCCTACTCGGATTTTGTTCGACCAAGGCAGTTTTTTTCTCTTGGTTGTTTAATTTATTTTAGAATTGGATCATTTCTGGAATTTTTGATGGCTAGTTTTTTGAGGAAATTACATCCTCCACTTAAACAATATGAAAATATTACATAATTACATCCTCTATATAATTATTTACAAATTAACTAAATTTGTTATATTTATTTGAATATATGCCTAAAAAGTTAATTTCCTATTTATATGGTAACTTCTCATTCCTATTTACATGTAACTTACCATCAATTACTTCCCATCAATTACGTCTCTCTCATCTCCCCCTCTCTTTCTATTCTTCACACACGGCCGTATCTCTCTCTTAGACGCAGACGAATGCTTTCTGGACGAGGGGATGATGTCATTGAATCGTAATTTCCAAGGTAAAGACCATATTCTGATTATTGATCTTTGCAAGGATATGATATAAACGATTATTAGGAGAAAAAGCTTAAATAATAATTTTTATTTTTATTTTTTTGCAGGCGGATCTTGAAGAAGTGAGTTCTCTCTATCTCGATGCCAAATCATCTGCAAAGCTTCTCCAAGAACAGCAAGATAGATACATATCACAGACACATAAAATTCGGCTCGAACGATAATTTAGTTGATTGATCCCTTGAGATGTGAACAGTCGAGTGTTAAATCTTTTGTTTTCCTAAAGGATTGTATGATACAACAGGTATATTTTCGGTATACTCAATATATTTTCGGTATATTTTCATCCCCTCATATTGTATCGTGTTTGTATTGTTCCCCCTGTTATATGTATCGTTTATATTCAGTTTATTTTTGGTATATGTATGATTTATATTTAGTAAAATCATGGAAAATATATACAATACATATACCATCATTACGGTTTGCGTATATGATTGTATATGTTGCGTTTATGTTAGTATATATTCAGTATATATTATGTTACCATATCCATTCAACCTCCAATCGACCTTGATTTTAATTGCCTGTCAACTTTTATTTTGTGGTATATTTGCTTAACTTTTCTTAAAAAAAAAAAGATTGATCGCGCCTATATTGTTTTGTGCTGTGTTGTGGTATATGTATAGTATATGATCAGTATATGTATAGTATATATGAAATATATACTTTTTTTCACCTGTCAGGAGGAAAAAATATACCTGGATTTTAACCGACCTATCACATTTTTTTTGTGGTTATTTGCGTAACTTTTTTCAGAACAAAATTCAAAAAGAATTTTTTTTAAGCAAATGGACGCAAATCACGGGTAAAATAAGGAGAGAAAGTTGAATTGATATGGTAACTGAATCAGACAAATTAAATGCACGTGGAGAGTGGTTGGAATTAAATGGTAACTGCCATTATGCATTAATGTAGATAAGTAGTATGTTTTAGGCATAATAACAATTAATTGCATATATGTGGTAGAATTATAATTTTTTTAGAAACGCGTAGGAGGGATAAAAATTTCCCTAGTTTTTTTATGGAAACTTTTTTTATATTTTTATCAGTTTGTAAATTAGCCCATCAATGGTCAACAAAAAATACTAGTAGGCCCAGCCCTTTTACTGAGAAGGCCCAAATATATCCACATTGGGTTATTAAGAAATGCGAATTTCATTTTTCACCACTTCAGGTGAATAAAATCTCTTCGTACTTCGTTGTGGATCTCCAATATTCACAGCCGGTCATTTTTTCAGGTGATTTCATCTTCTCGATCTGCTCTTTCGAGTAAATAATTTGCTCCTTCATTTTCACTTTCGATAATTATTATCACTTATTTGAAGTCGCCGCATCTACACATCTCTGTTGGGGGAGATGCCGTGGGGGTTACATTTTATTGACAAATTTGTTTCAAACAACTATCATGCGTGCTTATAAAATACTGTGTGTTGTCATTTTAGCGTCTGAATAAGTGTGCGCCAATGAAGTGTTTTTATGTTTTTGTTTGTGTGCTTATAGTCTTTGTGGACTGTGGGCAGTAGATAAAAATTCTATGAGGATTCCTTTTATTTTAATCACTTATGAATAGATTAAATGGGCTGTTACAGCGCCCATGTTGTTCATATGATGACTGATATCTTGTTTTTTTCAAAAAGTCTATGGTTTTGCTATTCTGAAGATTTAACCCTCACGGTAGTATACTTTAACTGCTCTATTGTGAATGATGAAATCTTAGCTACTCTTGGGTTCCATGCATTCAGAATTCAAAATTTAACACTTTCCTTCTTTTTTCAGTTTAAACAAGATGTTTGGAGCTAGAGCAATCCATCGTGTTCTGAGAGAGAAACTTCATGCCCAAAACACGGTAAGAGAGCTACTCTCTGTTTATATTTGTGCATGTGTGTATGAAGTTCTGCTCTCATCTTTTATATGAACAATTGTACTACGCGTTGGAAACATCCTGTATCAGGTGATAACAGAGATTAAGAAAAATATGAAGAATATGCTATTAATCATTTAATGGATAATTACGGGTCTGTATATGATATTTGCTGGCTTGCAGGCAATTGTTGCACCTACTGCATATCAGGATCTATTAACTTGTACTTATTCCTGTTGAACGACAGGAATTCGTTCACGTCGTTGCCTTTTTCAGAGCTTGAGTCAGTATGCTATGTAGCACTTAGAAAGAAACATGAAAAAATATTTACATTGATTTTTTTCAACGTTCAGGTTTCTCCAGTTTTTTCATCTCCTTGCTCAACATCGTGGAGAGGATTGGTCCTCTTTGGTGCAGGTGTCACTGGGCTTTTTAGTTTTGGGACAGTGGCATCTTGTGATGAGGCTGAACATGGTTTGGGTGTCCCTGACTACCCTTGGCCTCACAAAGGCATTCTAAGTTCATATGACCATGCTTCGTGAGTATCTATATCTTTAGCTTATCAAGCAATTTCTCAATATACTTATATTTTTTTAGCTAATCTTCTTCAGATATCTACTCAGTCTGCAATAACATGTTAGTTCAAATTTTATCGGTTTACCTTGAATTAATGACATGTCCTTTCCTTATAATCACCTCTATGTTATTGTTATCTATCATTTTTTATTTATCTCCATGAAATAACATTAGTTAAATATCTTTAGGGCCAGTTTCAAACTTGTTTTACTTGCTTTCCAATCAGTTTAATGCTCCATATAGTGGCGTCTGACCAGTGGAATTTGCACTATGCTCAATCTTTGTTGTAAATTTGTTCTCGTAGTTCCTTCTTTATCTATTAGGAAAATAATCATTTTTCGGTTGATTGATGCTTCTCATTCGCCTAAAACATTATGCATCTGAGTTAATTAAGTCCATGATACCTCCCCCTAAGCTACAATGGATAACAAATAATTATTTATGAAATTCCGCTTCTTTTTTCATTTTCTTTTATATGGAAGGTACAATTCTTGAAATCAAGTCTCTTTTCCACATTGGACAGATATTTGGGGTATAGAAATGCTAGGTCATTGACTACAGTCAATACGATGATGTAGAATCCTTCACACCTTTTTTTAATACACTTCTTTTCTTGTGTGTATGTGTTCATCAAACAGGATTCGTCGTGGTCACCAAGTGTATCAACAAGTATGTGCCTCCTGCCACTCCATGTCCTTAATTTCATACCGTGACTTGGTAGGTGTTGCTTACACAGAGGAGGAAACTAAGGCAATGGCTGCTGAGATCGAGGTCGTTGATGGGCCGAATGATGAGGGAGAAATGTTTACCCGCCCAGGAAAACTGAGTGATCGTTTTCCTCAGCCATATGCAAACGAACAGGCTGCTAGGTTTGCAAACGGGGGTGCCTATCCTCCAGATTTAAGTCTGATAACCAAAGTATTTCCAACCTTTCTATCCATTTGCTTTCGTTGGAGCTTGTTTCTGCCTTTCTTGGCTAATATATGGATTTGCATCTTTAGGCTCGTCACGATGGTCAAAATTACGTTTTTGCTCTTTTGACTGGGTACCGTGATCCTCCTGCTGGTATTTCTGTAAGTTGTCCTGATTGTATTATTTTTTACCTGGATTACAACTACCGTATTGTTTTTCAACCTTTTTCTTCTCCTGTTATAACTTAATGGCAATGAAATGCCGCCAATCTGTTTCTTATTCTGACTTCGAAATGTGGGAGGATCTCTTGCTTTGACTCCTCTATTACCTTTGCTTTTCCTATTTGAATAGTTTTTTTCTTCTATATATGCTTTAAATGGGTTATATAGCAGGATCTTCCTTTACTCATTTGCTTTTCATCACAATCTCCAGCCATCCCCCTTATATATTAATTCAGAACGTGCTGAGCCTATGTGGCAGGCTCGCATGCTTCGGGATCCTATGTGGCAAAATTACATGCTTCGTTATTAGGGTTGGTTGGATAGATTTAATTTACTTCTAATCCAAAAACATTTAGGTTCGGATTATCTATAAATATGTTGATTATTTATGGTCGGGGTGGGCGCGGTCTGGGACGGTCCTGGATTTGACCTGTCCGGATACCGATCCCACTTTTATGAATCGGTCCATGAACGGTCCGGGATGAGGCACCATCCCCACCCATGTAATACATGGGTGTTGTACTAGTATAAATATATATGCTAATGCTAAAATTTTGTTTTGAACTACGGTATTTGGTTTTTCCTGTTTCTTAGTGCTAAGAAATTGTGTTTTTGTTTTTCTATGGGGTATTGAATACATCCTTAGAGAACATCTTGTGTTTGTGGAGCTACTGTATTTATTGATTATCTTCAAGACAATTAAATTTTCATTTATCCGGGTGAAATTCTAGATTTGGTCAAACAGTTGAAATTCACCTAGCTCTGTTTTATGGATTTTGGTGAAGTTTCTGGGTAGATACTGTGAAACAATGATTCTGCATTTCCATGGAGTTATCCACAAGAACATATTATACCTCAGGGTCCAGAGTATCGTTTGAATTGTGGTGTGACATTTCATCTTTTATTCACTTATTTTGTTGTTAATAATTATTTTTATTGTTATTTTTTCAGTAATTATTTTATTGTTGTTATTTCACCTGTTCAAATTATGGAACTTGCATTCTGCTTTTGTGCTCAGGAACACTTTTATTCGCTTTACTGATATGTGGACTTTTCTGTCTCAAGTAAAAGCTTGGTACTATTTGGTTGATTTGTTAAACAAATGAAGTACTCCTGAAACAGATTCGTGAAGGACTGCATTATAACCCTTACTTCCCTGGTGGAGCAATCGCAATGCCTAAAATGCTTAATGATGGTGCTGTTGAGTATGAAGATGGTACACCCGCAACAGAAGCACAGGTAGATTTACTAAATGAAAGATTACATAAGCTGCCCTTAGATTTAGCATCATGCGAGAAGAATGAATCTTCCTTTCCAATCACAAAAAGTCTCCTTGATGTTACCCCCAGATGGTGGTGAACTTTTTATACAATCATTTCAACTCTCTAGTTGTTATGTGTTAGTAACTTGGTGGATTACATATTCGTGATTTTGAATGTTAATCTTTTTAGTTAAGTCTCAAAGGAAGTCTTTTGCTGTTTCTCGCCTTATCTGTGTTTGTTATGTAGATGGGAAAAGATGTGGTGTCATTTTTGTCCTGGGCAGCAGAGCCGGAAATGGAAGAGAGAAAGCTGGTAATACTTTCACGGGCATATTTAGATGAAAAATTATCACGTCTATTTTTTTTTTTTCCAGTTTCCCCGTTTACATTTTTTTTTTCCCATTTACTTAACATGTGTTTGTGGTTCTGAATGGAAATGGAAGATGGGGTTCAAGTGGATATTTGTCCTGTCACTGGCATTACTTCAGGCTGGTTACTACAGACGGTTGAAGTGGTCTGTTCTCAAGTCCAGAAAGCTGGTGCTTGATGTTGTCAACTAGGTTTCAGTTAAAATTCTGGGTATTTTACTTGTATCTGCTGAGATGAACCTGCCTTCAAATTTTTTTTTGGGAAAACCGTAATGCTGTTTTCCATTTTGATGGAGATCAATAAGAAATATATACCGGCCATGTACCTTTTTAACATGTTGGAGCTGATGAGGAATATTGGAAAAATACATTGTTTGGTGTTGTGTACATTTTGATGTAGTTATTTATTCGTTCTACTTTTCCTTCCAAAGTTGGGAAGGTAGATGTTTGATCTTTTCTAATAAATTATAAGGTAGAAAAATCGTCACCTGGCACTTGGGTTTCTTCACTTTCATTGTCAACAATAGCCCCTCGATATGTGATACATATTTTAATATGGAATGTCGCGAAAATGATTCGAACGGCTCGGAAATGCCTCGGAAAGGGCTCGTCTCCCCAAACTTAAACAAGGTGGACCTAATTAATATCAAAATACACAATAAAGTACGGCAAAATACAAAAAATACATAACGAGAAAGAAAACACATAAAACACGACAAAATGGATCGATTGACACTAAAACGAGCCTAAAAACGACTCGACTAAAGCATATAAAACACAAGAAAAAAAGCACAAAAATATAACAAACAGCAATGAGGCGAGCCCAATTAAATAGCTCGCAGGAGAAAGTGTCTGTCAAGCTTAATTATCCACCTCATTTGACACTTGTCAAGTCAGCCCATTAAGACTTTAAAAGACAATTGTGTGTTGGATCACATTATATACTCAATTGATAAAAAATTAGTAAAGACACAATTGTCATTTGACAATAAAGAATTGTCTTCGTTTCTCTCACTACAATCATCACTTTCCATCATTATTGTTAGATGAACAAATTTAACCTCAATTTTAAGATATTCAACTTGAAATTAGATTAGGCTAAATAAAATATTGGATGGGGCTATGTATAAAAATTTTAATAAATAAAGTTAGCAATTTTATTTTTTAAAAGAAATAATGGGTTTGGAGCCCACTCTACATGGCTCTGCCCCTCCCAGGACCATGCACTGGTTTTTATGACACAATGGCACGGTGCCATCGCACCGTCCACGTGCCATGAATCCATTTACGCATGCTAATCTTCTAGGAATTCCAATATTTTCAAAAAGCTCAGAGATAAGCCGCTACGCGTCAAGTTATCCTAAACGTTTGTCCCCACAAAATGCATGAAGTTGCACGGACACATGTCCTCACTCCCCTTGGTCACCATCGAACTACCGAATTAAAATGCGATATGGTGCTTTTTCAAGGGGCCCACTGAAATCTCTATCAACCAATTAAAATGCAGCATTTGCAGTGCACCTGTTTGAGGTAAANAAAAAAAAAAAAAAGAAAAAAAAAAGCAATTTCTCCTGCAAAACATCTGGTATGTGTGTAATGAAACACGTATTAGGTGTTGGTTGTGCTCTAATGTTTTTATATCTTTTTCGTAGTTTCAACTACAGTAATCAATTTGACTATTTTGTTCTCTGCTTCTGCTCTCTCTTTTCCTAGGAACATACTTTTTTTTCCCCCCTAGGAACGTACTTTCATTTAATGTTATTTTGTTTAATGTTCATTTGAAATTTATGTAAAAGTTAACAACTTTATATATTTTTCCTTTGCACTATGTGTGTAATGTGTTACACTAATTCATATCCATGACATGACCGAATAATTTGCTTCAATATTTAGGTGGTGTTTGTATATAAAATAAATCAACTTATACTCAAACTCAAAATCTACTCAACTTTAACTCAATTCCACTATCATCAATAATATCATTATAATTATAATATCAATCAATAATGCTTACACATCGCATCAACTTTGATTCAATATCATTCATCCATATAATTTTAACTAACAATCTCTTCATATTATCTCTCTCATACTTTTATAGCAAATCAATTTTAATTATTTTATTAATATAAATTCAAAATTTAATTAATAATTAATCATACTACATATTTTAAAATTAATTATGATTAACAAAAAAATTCCACTTTAAGCGAATATATTTGTATCCAATCACAACCTTAACAACAGGCCAATAGTTGTCGAGTAATGTGTCAGTAAATTAATAAAAAATTATTATTAACATTATATTATATAAGAACAAATAAAGGTCCATGATTGGTGGAATTGAAACATTTTTTTCTTTCAAAAAAATGCACCCCAACTCCCTAAGGAAGATATTATTATAAATACTATACTGTGTTTTTAACTCAACCAATCAAATCGATGGCTTCTAACCACATCCAATGTAAATCACAAAGTGGGAGGATTTTTTGCCTAACATTAGAACAACCTCCCAACACCTTCCACGTATCACACTTTTGTTTGGTTGGAATAAAGTATACATCTCTCATCTCGCTTTCACAAGTCGTGGACATCTGTCCTCGCTTTTTATCCTCAAATGAATACTGGAAAAAAAATACCAAAAAAGTACATCGAATTTACTTGCAAGGTTGTCTACTTGTGTGGAAGAAATTATATTTGTACTTTCTCTATATAATTTTTTTTTTTCCCAATACCATAGAGGAACTTTCTCTAGACTATGTTTCATAATTCAAATAAGTTAGTTTATAATTTATTTGGTTAATTTATAAGTTCCATGTATCCAAATAAACTTCATTTGGTATGAAGAACTTTTTTAAAAAGCTCGAGTTTATCTCATAAGTTACTTTAGGTAGCTTTTCAAATAAACTAGTTGATTTTTTATTTCAGCTAGCTTATCAGCTAATTTTACCAAGCACTTTTATCATATAAGCTAGTTTTTCAGCTATAAACTATAAGCTCAAAAATTACATATAATACTCTCTTTCATTTCAATTTTTCCAATAGTAAATTTGGTTGATTATTTACATTAGTACGGTATCTCAAATGCATCTTATATATACTACTTCTTTAATGTATATAATTTTATATTTGGACTAAAAGTCATTTTGCTCATATGGATCATATATTTTGAATTTCAATGTCTTTTGAACCAAATTAATTTAACTTGTTATCATCTCGACTTAGAAATTATTCAATCTAAGTAATAAAATATAAAAGGAGAGTGGTGCCTTTATTACTCTATATTATATTACCTTATCACACCCAATTTTATTAGAAAGTCACATTTTATTTTCACACACAGCACGTAAAGATATGTTTTCAATCATTCCGCTTCCTTTCACACTCTCTAAATATTACTCTAACAACATATAGAAAAATAGAATTACCCAATGGGTATTATATTTTAAAAAAACTGAAGTACATAAAGATGAGAGTATTTAAATAAATAATATTTGAATAAATTAAATTATATGTTGCATATATCTTCCATCACCTAGCTGAATTAAAAACAATAATATCTGTACTTACCTGCCAGACCCTTTCATCCAACTCTGCAAATCTGTTAAGATAACGCAAGACATGGCTTTAATATTTCAAATTTTCAAGCTCCACACTCAAAGATTCCAGCGAATGAGGTTCTCTCTCTCTCTCTCTCTCTCTCTCTCTCTCTCTCTCTCTCTCTCTCTCTCTCTCTCTCTCTCTCTCTCTCTCTCCCGTTTTAGTCTATATGTGTTTACAAAATTTAGATAAAGATTACTGTAACTTTCACCATTAACAAAAAAAACCCATACACGTGTCCATGTTCTGGAAACCTCTTTCCCATTTTACCCCTGACCAAAATAGCACGATTCCTTGAAAATGGGTATGCTGCCCTCTCACTCACTGGACACATCGCGCTCTATCATTGGCCAAATCTCTGCACACCCAATCACATTATTATAGATACATAACACGTTCTTTATGGCCAGTAATAATGTAACACGTGTCGCCATTATGTACATATATGTAACCTTTTTAGCTTTTTTGTTGGTTGCTCAACATACGTACTACTCATCACTCATCGCCATTTACTTTTTCCCCTTTTTCATTTTTTCAGAAGCTGGATTCGAATGAAAGGAGAAGCTCGGCCGCTAGATCTGCACATCGATGCTCAGATCGCCGGATAATAACTCCGTCATGAGCCGGATAATGCTCAGATTCCGTCCGATCGCGCCGAAGCCTGCGTCCGGCGGCGGATCTTCCTCCGGCGAGGCGGACCCGGAGAGGTGGAAGAGGGCCAAGAGGAAGTACGTCAGATCCCGCGGCCGGCGGGGCAAGCAGTCGGCGCGATCAAAACCGCCGTCGCCGGAAATATCAACCGTCGAGGTGGAGACGCCGCCGGCGAGAGCAGGCGTGACGCTGCAGCTTCTACCGGAGAGATCTGAGGAGATCTCGTACAGCTCAGATCTGCGCACCTCGGACAGCGGCGGCGGCGGGAGCTGGCCTCCGGCCGTTGACGGCGGCGAACGTTCTCCTCCGGGAATAAGGCGCGTGGGATCTACAATCGAGACGTTGATTATCGTGGAGCGCGTGACGGAGGGGTATGAGGACGTAGGGTTAGGGTTTTCGGATGAGGAATGGGTGCGGAGCCTGGAGAGGGACACGTGTCCGGGTTTCATATCCAACCCGAGGAACAACGTGATTTGGGTGAACGAGGCGTATAAGAAGGTGGTTGGGGCCCGGGAGAAGGGGTTTGTGGCCGTGTGGTTAGTTGTGCAGGATGTGTTGCCCCAATTTTACCCTTCCTTCGCATGCAGGGTGAGGGTAGTGCAACGGGGAGGCCAGGGGCAAAATTGGAACAAAATATTGCCATGCGATGTTTGGAGAATGGTGGAATCCCATGGCTTTGCATGGAAATTGGACGTAAACACCGCGCTCAGCTTAAGCATTTAGCAGCCAAACCCACAATTTCATTCACTACCAACACCAGGTGATTAATAATTAAATTAATTGATTATCTACAATATTATTAATAAGTAATTCATTAACAAATTCCGTAATGTTTTGGCATTTTGCATTCACTAACTAGATTGAAATCGGATTACAGTGTTTTAGTTATGGTTGACCCAAATATTAAAATAATCATGTAGGAAAGAATATCATATAAATATTATAAAAGTAATTACCACTATATATATACCATTTTTTGTGATAAGGATCAATCTGCAAAGCGAATGTGAACTACTTAATTATTGGTCAGTTTTATATATAATTTATATGTATAAATAAAAGATTGGATTCACTACAAGATTGATGCTTATCAGGAAAAGATTTGAGCCTTCCAATAAAGTCAAAACACCTGACACTTTCGACATATAACGGTCCAAATCATGAACACAGACACACATGCCAATGTGTGTGCAAGTATGTTTTTTACTTTAGAAAAACGTAATTATATATACTTGAGATGGTCGTCAGAGATATTCATTAATTTACTTCTTTAAACCATTAATTAATCTAGGACAAACCCCCGATAATTATCAAACTAATATCATAAACTATAAAATAATAAAAATTTTGATGAATCTTTGGAGATTAAATCTAAATATTTCCGCTATTAATCCTAAAAAGGGACAATGACATTTATTAATGTATGGATCATTATTAATATTATACTTGATAAAATAAGTTTCACAACATCTTGCTATTGTACATCTCTTAAAATACCGGATATCAAGTGTTCATCTTATCTCTCTCCTAATTATCTCTCAACGATTATGTTTCCTCCTATTTATTAAACCTCAAAGTGTAACTATTTTTACTATTTTCATCTCTTTCCTAGTTATTTCTTAAAAATTATCCTTTCTCCTAATTAGTAAGGATACAAATGTAAACAAAATGCAAGAATGTGTATTGTGGTTGTTCTCACTCTTTTTCTTTTTCTTCTTTTTTTATTTATTATATATTTAGCAAATTAAAGTTCATTTAACAAAATAAATAGATATGAGACTAACTCCAACAGTCTCCTTATCAAACTCCCTAAATTTGACTCCTTAAACTTGAAACGTTCACTTATTTTATTTCTCAATTGATGACCTATTAATTTCTTTTACACTTTTGTATTCTTATATTCCATGGTTACGTCTTAGTTTCTTACTTTTTCATTGTTATGATATTTATTAAACTAGTGTTGATACTCGTGCGATGCACAGTGTACATTACAAAAGATATTTTTATTTAAATATTATAAAATTATTTAAGACAATATGAAACTATATTCTCCACGATATTCTATCCAGTAATAATATGACATTTATTTATTTACTATTATTGTTAATTATATTTATATATACATATATTTGTATTTTTTTGACTATTTAATATATAAATTTTATTATTTATAACTTTATAATATATTATAAATGTATAAGATTATATAATAGTTGCATACAAATTACTTGTATGTACTTATAAAATTGTCGTTTATCATAGTCTTATAATTTTTTTCAACAATTTATAATTTGCACATTGCGTGATAATTGACCAACGTTTAACTCATAATATTTATCTTCCGCTATAATTATTAAGTGCATTAAATGTTAAAATTTTTTATAGATAACTTTTAATTTTTAGTAACTTTAATCTTTATGCAACATACAAATTTTTAATGGTTAAATATTTCATTTTTATGTTTTTTTATTTATAAATATTTCTTTAATTCATTTTTTCAACCTTTATAATGAGTTACATAGTATCTATTCGAATATTTAGATATAGTATATATTACCATAATTATCAAGTGCTATAATTTAAATTATTATATATTGCTATGTTAGTAACTTATTTTTCATTTATAAAATAGCATATAAGAAAAAATATATATTTTTGAAAATTGAATAGCTTTTTAATGTACATAAATAATTCTAAGGTGAAATTTATAATTCTGAATTGCACCCGACTATCAAATTTTATTTTTATTAGTATATTATTTAAATTTTCAACAGTATCTCACTGCATATGATATATCAATGGAGATGTACCTTTTAATAGATAAATTGACTACATTTAGAAATTTTTATTAATACTTTAAATTATTTTTTAAGTTAGTACGATTTAAACATAGTTATTCTGATTATTTTATTAAATATTTTAAGTACTTCTAAATAGTTAATATAACTAATTAAATTAATACCTACAACCATAGATGATAATATATTTAATCAAATCAATTTCCATAATAACTTTTTGAATTGTGTCATTATAAATTAATATAAAACTAATATAAGATTTTATTGAAAATATATCTAATAAACATGCGGTCAAAATTTCAATTTAAGTCAATTTGTAGTTAATGCGTAATAGTCATTGAGTGTATAAAAATTAATTATGTTTTTCATGCATAAGATTTGCTAATAAATAAATATTAATTAAATGACAAATAATGCTAATTATGGCAATAAGTATTGATCCATTATATATGGAAAATGCTACAAGTACATAATAAATGTACATAGAGATGTACATAACAATTACATGGCGTGGGGTCCACTTGATTTTTTTATTTTTGGTCAGTCTCACTCAATGTAAGTGTTATGTACACCTGTACAATATTATGTACTTATAGCATTTCTCATTATATAGATAGAGATGTTAAATGGTCCTTGGCCCGACGGACCGGCCCGTTTAGCCCGGAAAAAAAGAGGGTTAGGTCTTTTAATTAGTAGCCCGTTTAAATCAGGGCTTTTTAGGCCCGGACCGTTTAGCTCGAAGCCCTCTAGGGCTGGCCCGTTTAACTAGGGTTGGGCAGTGTAAATGTTTGCATCAAGTAAGTAATATGCTCTTAAATTCCTTGTATATTACAATTTTGATATTCCACTTCACATGTAAGTACGAGTTGTAATGGATTATTATGTTTTTGAAATATAATTATTAACAATATTGTTATTGTACTTCATACCAAAATATTTAAGTCAATCAGAACAACTAATAAGAAATACATGAAACATAATGATAGACGGTAAATACTAAATAGCCGTTGAAAATAATTTTTAACTAGTCGTTGTTATTTTTTTTTATATTTTTTACTCTTTTTATTTTTTATTTTATATATTATTATTATTATTATTATTATTATAGTCATAGCCCGCATAGCCCGTTTAGCCCGAAACCCGCTAGGGTTAGGGTTAGGTCCGTTTTTTGGTAGCCCGTTTAAATCCGGGTTTTTTAGGCCCGGACCGTTTAAACCCGAAGCCCGCTATAGCTAGCCCGAAACCGCTAGGGCTAGCCAACATCTATATATAGATATAGATATATGGTAAGAATTTTTCCCCGCCTTAAAATACGAATGATAGGTGGCATGACATCTATAATTAATACACTATTCCATTTCTCGTTTTATTTTCCCTAACTGCATATTCTTCCCAAAATTTTCTAAAATCATTAGAATCACAAAAATCAACTTTTTTTGTGGTCGAATCCAGATACATAGTCGTGTTGTATAGCTCTTTTAAGGAGGAAACACCAGAATCAACTTTTTTAACGAACTCCAGAATCAACTTTTATTAATGTACTAAATCAAAGGTTCTCATAACCATACCGTTATCGAACTTATGAAGCTATTTATTCAATGATTCATAGGTTGTACCAGAATATAATTTATTAATATTTTGATATTTATAGTAATTTTATAATAAATTTATATAAGAAATATTAGTTAAGTATTTGAATATTCAAATATTTAAACTAATTAATAAATAATTTATAAATATTCATTTGATGTAAATATGCATTTTTATTTATGTTAAAGAGAGTTTTAAATATATAATACTTAATTAAAAAATGGGACCAATCTTACCAATCTGACGGCTGGTGTTGACTGGTTCGCTAGCAAACGTATTATTCAAGCAAATTAGATCGATCAAAAGAATAAAATTACTTTTTCGTGCATCACATGGGTCACGTACTAGTCTATATATATATAAAGAGGGACAAAATATATGGCATTTTATTGCTCTTTTTTAATTTAATTGTGGAAACTGACCGTTACTTTTTTATTGGTTAAGTGAAATAATATTTATTCACTTATTTATATTATATTAATTACTACTAATATCAACTAATTATAAATTCACACTAAAGTTTTAGTCAAATTATACACTTATAAAAAATTTAATTTATAGCAAATTGTTTTCTCCAGTTTTTTTAATTAATCTCATCATTTTTTATTTTTATCTCATTAAGCATTTTTCTAAAATGGGAATATGATTTTATTTTAATGTGTTTTCTTCGTAACACCATCCATTTATGATATTTAATGGATGATGAACTACATATTCAAAACATACCAATTAGAATGCAAAATGTCTTGATTCAGTATTGACCCATGTTGGCATTCATTTCATTGGATCGATTGCGTACCTAGAAATCCCCCCTTTAATATAATTTGAAAATGTGTTGAGTCTAAATGGCCGGCTCGCACGCTTCAGAAACTTACTTAGCAACATTACATGCTTCGGTTTTTGATTCGGATAAAAATTAATATAATTATTATATATACTATTTGGTTTGTGGTAATCCTATTCCAATTAAGTAGCTAGTATAATTACTCAATTTTAATTTTGTTAGATGTCCGTGTCAATTAGGAATCTTTTATATTTAATCATACTTTTAATATATTTTT